GCTTCACCCGCTGAGCTCCCCGAGGGTGGACCTGAGCGGGCGCGGGTGTGGCCAGGTTTGCTGTGAGAATTTGCCCGCGCGGTGCACGCACAGCGCGTGTGCTTTAGTTCGCGTGTCAGAGATACGTTCAGGAGGAAACAACCACGCTGGCAGGCAGCCGGTGCTGCAGCCGGGACACCGTCCCCGCGGCTGAGCGTCCACGGGCCGAGGAGGCACAGCTGCCCCAAGTGGAGACAAAGCGGTGCTCAGCCGCCCGGCGGTGGCACCGTGGGGCCGGGCAGCGATGGGCACAGAGGCTGGGACTTCTGCACAGCCCGGCCCGGCCCCTGCTGTCCGTTGTGTATCCCACACGGATGGCACGCCTGCGTCCAGGGCCGGCCCCGAGCTGGCCCTGCCAGCGCTGGACAAACGCCCCAACCCAGTCGCCCCTGAGGAAGGCTGTGCCGCGGGGGCAGCGCCTGGGGAGGTCGAGGAGGAGTACAGGTCAGCGGCAGGTCCATCAGCCAGGCCGCAGGGGAGGTGGGTGAGGGAGCCTGTCACGAGAAGAAACAGAAAGAGCTGTGGCCCAGGGAGGAGCTGGGGAGGGCCCTGACCTTTGACTTGCTGTGACAGAGCCCGGGTTCAAATCCCAGCTACTCTCCTGCCTTGCTTTAGCTTTCTGGGACTGTGCTTCTCTATAAAATGGGGGTGACACCCTCCCTCCCCCATTGCTTTGCAGGTCAAAAACATGTGCTCTATAGGGTACTGGTTCAGTCCCAGTAAAGGGGCCCATGGTGTGTCTGTAGAAACCCAAGGGCCCACCCGGCCAGTGTGGCTCATCGACCTATGAACCAGGTCAGGGTTCAATTCCCGGTCAGGGCACAGGCCTGGGTTGTGGGCTCCATCCCCAGTGGGGGCGTACAGGAGGCAGCCGGTCCATGATTCTCTCTCATCGTGGATGTTTCTATCTCTCCCTCTCCCTTCCTCTCTCAAATCAATAAAAATATCTTTTAAAAAAATAAGGCAAAATCCTAACAACAATCCAACCACCACCGTTCACCATCTATGGCCCCTAACCCTGACCCACCCCAGCCCCAGCATGAACCCTGACCCCAGCACTGACCCCAAAGGTGGCCCAGGCACAGCATGGCCCCTCTTCCCAGGCAGGGCCAGCTCCAACTGCCCTCTTATAGGGGGGTGTGTCTCCTCCGTCTCCCAAACCCAAGAACTGACCCTCCCCCCACCCCGCGACCCCCTCAGACCCGTTGAGGATCCAGAAAGGTGCACCTTCTGCTCACAGGCTGTCCCCGCACCTCACAGCCAGCAAGTGCCTGTGAGCTGCCTCCAGAGGGGGCAGGCACAGGTGGCAAAATGCCCCTGGCAGAGTCCTGGGGAAACGGGACCCAGATGGGGGGTTCAGTGAACACAGGTGTGGCCATGTGAGGGCGTGGTCACATGAACAAGGGGGTGGGGCCACGTGAACAAGGGGGTGGGGCCACGTGAACAGGGAGGAGGGGTCATGTGAGCACAGAGATGCCCCCCCTCTGTGAGCCAGACTCTGAATGGCAGCAAGATGGTCCCTGCCCTCAGGAACAAGGGGTGCCCTGTGAACCAGGCAGCAGCTGGCCCTCAGGGCCCTGCAACCAGCAAGGGACTCTGGTGGGGGGAGGTCAGCCCTCCCAGGAGGGACGAGGGCTTAGGGGGCCCAACCCAGCTGTTTTCCTGAGATCAAAGCCTGGAGGCAGGGCTGTCAGGGTCCCAGGACAGTCCACTGAGAGATGCCCCAATGGTGGGCACCACGTGGGGCACCTGGTTGGCGTGGCTCAGTGGTTGAGCGTCAACCTATGAACCAGGAGGTCACGGTTCGATTCCCGGTCGGGGCACAGGCCTGGGTTGTGGGCTCGATCCCCAGTGTGGGACATGCAGGAGCCATCTTATCAATGATTCTCTCTCATCATTGATGTTTCTATCTCTCTCCCCCTCTCTCTTCCTCTCTGAAATCAATAAAAATATTTTTTTTAAAAAAAAAGGAGGAGGAGGAGGAGGAACCAAGGGGAAGCCAAGAGCCCGTGTGGCCCCTGGGCGCCCCCCGCCTCGCCGGCCCCGGGTGGTTGGCCGAGCACAGTGGGTGCTGACTCATGGGAAGGGGCTGCGGTGGCACAGGAAGGTTGAGCAAGGCCTCACCCTCTGGGGGTGGCGCTCGGTTCCTCAAAAGGTCCAACAGAGAACTGTGTGACCAGCAGGCCGCCTCCTGCCTTTGTACCCAGGAGTAATAAAAACAGGTCCACAGAGACTTGACAGCAAAAAGGTGAGAATGGCCCTGGCCGTGCGGCTTAGTTGGTTGGGGATCCCAGGCACTGAGAGGTCACGGGTCCAATTCCCAGTCAGGGCACATGCCCTGGTTGGTTTCAGGCTCTATCCCCAGTTGAGGGCGTGTAGGAGGCAGCCAATTGATGTCACACTCTCTCATCAACGTTTCTTTCTCTCTCTCTCCCTTCCTTCCCCTCTCTAAGAAAATAAAAAGTGCTCTAGCTGGTTTGGCTCAGTGGATCAAGCATCAGACCCTTTGGCCTGCGGACCACAGGGTCCCAGGTTAGATTCCCATCAAGGGCCTGTACCTCGGTTGCAGGCTCCTCCCCGGCCTGGGTCCGGGTCAGGAGTTATTCTGAAGGCAACCTATTGATGTGTTTCTCTCACATCAGTATTTCTGTCTTTCCCTCTCTCTAAAAATCCACGGAAAAATATCCTTGGGTGAGGAAATTAATTAATTAATTAATTAGGAAAAAAATGAGCTTGGCCGGTGTGGCTCAGTGGTTGAGCGTCGACCTAGGAACCAGGAGGTCACGGTTCGATTCCTGGCCAGGGCACAGGCCCGGGTTGGGGGCTCCATCTCCAGTGGGGGGCGTGCAGGAGGCAGCCGATCCATGATTCTCTCTCATCATGGATGTTTCTCTCTCTCTCTCTCTCCCTCTCCCCTTCCTCTCTAAATCAATAAAAATAAATAAATTTAAATTTAAAAAAAAAGAAAAAAAAAGTGAAAAATGAGCTAAATGTCCATCGACAGATGAATGTGGTCCATCCATACAGTGGAATGGATGGATGGAATCATTCTGCCATAAAAAGGAATTAAGTGCCCTGGCCAGTTTGGCTCGGCCGGCCTGTGGACCACAATCATTGGGAAAATATCCTCGGGTGAGGATTAACAAAAAAAACAAAAAAAGGAATGAAGTGATAAAGCAGCACCATGGATGAGCCTGGGCAACTGTATTCAGCGACACCTCGCACATGACCCCTTTTATGTGATACGCCCAGAACAGGCCAATCCAGACCCATAAAGCAGAGGGTGGGGAGTGGGGGGAGGAGTGATTAATGAGTATGACACCCACCCCTTCTTCACAGCCAATCCTAACACCCACCCCGGGCAGGGAGCCCAGCGGGTCAGGCTGGGCTGGGCAGGCTGGCTGGGGGTCTGGCCTCTGCCCACAGCCGGGCTGGCCAAGCAGTTAATAGGTGAGTTTTTCTGGGAGCTGGTTAATATGTTAATTGTTCTGGAGCTGGAAGAGATGTGAGGGAAAAGGGCCACAGAGGGAGTGGCCAGTTGCCCTGGTTGCTTCTCCAACCTGGAGTCGGGCACTGTGGCCGCAGGTGTGGAGGGACAGTGAAGCCTGGCTGTGCGCCAGGTCCCTGAGCGGAGCAGGGTCAGGAGCCTGGACCGCAGGGCAGGGGTCAGGGCTGGCAGGCATGCCCGTCCCATGACTCAGCTTTCTTCACCCGACCCAGCCTGTCCCGCCCGATCCTGTCCACAGGTGGTGGCTGGGAGCACCACAGGCCCGGAGCCGAGGGGACGTTTTGAGGATGGGAGGCTCCGTCAGGCCCGAAGGTCCCCTGGAACCCAAGACCTGGCCCTGGTGGGAACGGGAGGTCTGCCCCACGCCCCCCCTGGGGTGCCGCCACCCTCAGAAGCTTCTCCAGGTTCCCGACGGCACTTTCAGAACCCCTCCATCTGCGCACACGGGCAGAGTGGGGGTCTCGGCCCCCCTCCGTCCACCTCCTCCCGACAGAGATGCATTGGGAAGGGGGAGCCGGCCAGGAGGTGGTCCTGGGACAGCCCTGGCCGCTCCGCTCCTTGGAGCCATTCCAGGGCCAGAGGGCACCTGTGCAGGGACTGCCAACACCTGGGATCAGGAGGGGGAAGGATGGGCCGGAGCAGGGAGGGGTTTCTGGCACCCACAGTAAAAGCAGAGGCCAGCGCGTGGCTCTGGGGTTGAGCATCGACCTATGAACCAGGAAGTCAGGGTTCCATTCCTGGTCAGGGCACGTGCCCTGGTTACAGCCGGTGTTGCGGGCTCGATCCCCTGTCGGGGGCGTGCAGGAGGCAGCTGATCCCCTCTCATCATTGGTGTTTCTATCTCTCTCCCTCTCCCTTCCTCTCTGAGATCAATAAAAAAATACATTTTTAAAAAGCAGAGGCCTCAGTGGACTTGGTACCTCAGAAGGGGAGTCGGATGGTGGGTGGGGCGGGGCCAGGAGGCCGG